GGAGATGCTTTTGTTTTAGCAGCTTGTTCTGAATGAGCCCTGCATTTTAGCTTTAAAGTGTAATATTTTTTCTTTATCATGTTATATGGATGTTTGCTTGGTTTGCTTATCTATCTCTTATTTTTTTTAATAAGTTGATATATTATTAACACAATTTACGATGACATGCATATCTTTCATACAAATTTGAGATAGGTATAAGATGAATTTTATATTTAGTGGCTTTTAATAAGAATTTTAGTTGTAAAATATGTAACCTTCATATTTAAAGATCTTGAAATCTAACAGTACTATTACATGCTTATCTTTGATCATGTTCTTAAAAATTGATCTGGTAGTCATATCCCCAAATAAGGATACTTGTAGAATCATGCCACTATATAGAGAAAAAAATATCAATTTTAATTTTTTTAACTTACACTATGGTAACTAAGTATCATGTACATATTTTTTGTCCATTATAGTGAATTTTCTCATCTTATCTAGTTTATTATATCTCACAATGTAGTTGATTTTTGTCCATTATAGTGAATTTTCTCATCTTATCTAGTTTATTATATCTCACAATGTAGTTGATCAATGACTTCACTTTAGTTTCTATTGCAAGATTATTTATATAAAATTTTATATTAAGTTTATGATTCCTTCAGTATTTTTAGAATAAAGTATGAAAAATTATAAATACTTACTAATTTTTCTTTTACTTTTCATGAATAATATTTTTTAATTAGGACATAATTGTTCAATATGTTTTTCAAGAAGAACTCGGTTAGTGCTTCTTTGCTCGATATGCTTTTTATCAATGTCAATTCAGGTGATTCATGAATTATTCTGAATTTTGAGTTTATTTCCTTTACTTCTCCATTTGAAAAAAAATAACTTAGTTCTTTTAAAGGATATCTCTGAACTTTCTGATAGTTTCTCCATACATAACTCATTGTATTTTTTTTTACTTTATAAATAAATATTATCAACATTAGAGATAAATGTTTATACATTATAATCAATTAATGCTAACCTATTATATCTTAATGTAATAATATCAAACATTTTCTCTTTTCTTTGCCAAATTTCAGCCTTTTGTGATTTAAACTTTTGAGGGTGTGTTTTGTAATTTTTAAACTTTGATAGTATTTTATGAAAATTTTAAATTTTAAGTTGGGCGCTTATAATTTTCATGTTTCATGTATTAGTGATAAGTTTTTAAATGTTAGAATATTTCTCGTAACTCTAAAAATTTGAAGGTATTTTTATTACTAAAATTTTGGGTTGTTTATTAAAATTTTTAAATTTGTAGCAATCTACTAATAATTTCTAAATTTTATATGTACCAGTTATAAGTTCTAAAATTTCAGAATTTTTTAATACTTTTTTACTTTTGAGAGAGTTTTTGTAACTTTTGTACCTTTGAGGCTATTTTTTTTACTAATTTTAAATTTCTATGCGTCCAATGGTAATCCCTAAAATCCATCTATGTTGTTTCTAAGTTTTAAAATTTTTGAATTTTAGAATGTTTTTTTTGTAATATAAACATGGTTAAATAACACTTATATACCCTATTGTTTTGCTCTTGTAGTAGTTATATACCCTAAGTTACAAAACATAGTAAAAAAATATCCCGAGTTGGTAATTGTTTAAATTTAGCTAACGGTATTAAAAAATACATGAAAGGACGATAATGCCCCTCCTTAAGAAATAATCCCCCAACATAGTGAAAGCTCTTGTTTTCTATTGTTACCCATATTAAAGAGGAAGAAGTTGGAGGCCACGAAAAGAAGAAGATGATGAAAATAATCTAATTTGCGTCGGGGAGTGGGGGTGGGGGTAGGTAATACAGTAAATAATACAATAAATGAGGGTAAGAATTCAAGTTGGTCATAGGTCCAGCACGTGGGAATATTCCAGAGAATATTCTCACAGCTGGTTAACAGAAGGTACCAACTTACAAATTTTTGCCAACTTAGGATATTTTTTTGCTATATTTTGTAACTTATGGTATATAACTGCTTTAAGAGCGAAACACATAGGGTATATAAATTTAATTTAACTTTTAAACTTTTGATGTTGTTTTTATAATTTTTAAAATGTTGAGTGTTAATTATAAGTTTTAAATTTTTAGATATCATGTTTGTTTTTAAGTTTTAAAAAGTCAAGGTGATTTGTGTAATTTTAAACTTTTAGAGCCTGTTTGGATTTGTAGGGGGTGAAGGGAAGTTAAGGGAAACTAGATGAGAGAATGAAAGGGAAGGGAAGGGAGTTCCCTTCCCCTTGCTTACACCCCAATTTGGGGGGTAACAAATTTTATACTATTAGGGGGTGAACCAAGAGAAACTAGGGTGAATAACTTCACCTCCTAAATGTTCCCAAACAAGGTGAATGAAGGTGAATGGTTCCCCTAAATTCCCTTCACCCTTATTCCCCTCAATCCAAACAAGCCCTTAAGGCTATTATATGCAAATTTTGAAACTTTTGGGTTTTTTATAATACTTCATGTATTATAATATGTTATCTATGTATAGTTTCTTAATCTTATTTTTTTATATTTTTAAGTTATAGGTAGTTCATATGGAGTTAATATAGGATATAATTAGTATTTGGATAGATTAAGATTTAAGTGAAATATTCAAAATAATTTTTTTAAAATTGTTGACCTATAGATAGTTCACGTGGAATTAGATAAGATATGATTAAAATTAGAATAGATTAGGATAACAATATAATATTCAAAAAAGCTAAGGGTAATACTGACCATAGGAAGATTTTTCCGAACTCGTGCTTTTAAAGGGAAAATATGATTATTGCTATTAGTACTATTATTTTCACATAAATTTTCGTATATATCAGAAGATAAAAATTTTGACTTATATAAGATATATAAATTTTATCATTTACTTATTTGAAAATATTTATTTAGGAATTTAACAGAAACCGAGATTTAGTTATTGTCTGCATTCTCCTGGACATGAAACAATGATGGGTGTAGTGGTTAGTTGCACTTGACCATGATGCAAGGGTCTGGAGATCGAACCCTAGAGCCTTCCTTTTCTACATATATATATATTTGGGTTGGTTTGAAACCGAACCTGACCCGATACAGACCCGTTACCAAATTCCAGACCCGTTTGGGTCCAAAATACACAAGTACCCAACTCGTTTAGATCTATAACCCCTCGAACCCGACCTAGTTTGGACCTATTATCAAATTCCAGACCTGTTTGGATCCATAACCCTAAATTACAAACTTGTTATCTAATTTTCAGACCCGTTTGGATCTATAACCCTAAATTTCAGACCCGTTTGACCTAGTTAAGACCCAATATCATATTTCAGACGTGTTTAAGTTGTTTCTCACTAAAATCAGTTTTGCAGATTTCTATGTAGTCAATTTAAAACTGTTAGGTCCGCTTGACACTAAACAATTATGCTAATTAGTTATTTTTTGTTTATTAAGATGAATGATGATATTGTTTGATCTCTTGATGCTTATTGGATCACCTGATGTTAAGTTTGATCACCTAGTGACATTTAATAGGGTTAATTGTGCATGAAGACGACTTCCGTCAAGAAAATGATTTATAAAGTGTTATTATAGCATGGCTATACTCTTGACATCGATATCCCTATGTGAGGAGTTTCTCTTAATTATTAATATTATTATTATAGCACTGACTGAACGATGCACCTTTCTTGATTGGACATGTCGTGTCACGGTTATTTTTCATAAATTTTACGGAAATTGTTCCACGGTAACTCTGTGGTTAGTGAACAATATTTCATGCACAATCAATTAAAATAAATAAATAAATGTTGGGTTTATAAAGGAGAATTAGACGAAGAATATAACATGTATATAAGCGGGCTTATGCGCATTCTTGATATCCATATATATATATATATATATATATATATATATATATATATATATATGAGAACTAAGGACCCATCTTGATTTGAAGCTGTGTATATATATATATATATATATATATATATATGAGAACTAAGGACCCATCTTGATTTGAAGCTGTGTTCCCGGGACGGTTTACGGGAAACCGATTTATATATATGATACTATTCTCCTCTAATTCAAATAACATGTAAAATAAGAATAATGTGCTTATGTGTTTTGTAATAAATTTATTTCCCCATATCTATAAGTAGTGTTTCTTTTAGTCATGTTTAATTTAGATTTTTATTATATCTGCTACATATACTTACACGCGCACAATTCCTTCATTTTACATGCTTATTGGGAGTTTTCTGACTCCCTTAGGGTTTGCGTACCCTAGACTCGGGGATCGTTCTTTCTTCGCAGGACCGAGAGTACTTTGAGGATTAGGCCAAGCAACAATGATCACCTTCTATCCTATCACTCTCTTATTTAGGTAGTTATTTGTCATAAACTTTTTCTTTAGCCACATATGGTTCTCCAGACTATGATGTATTTTCCTCTTTCCCATTTTGGATGGTTGTGGACTTGTAGTAGAACACAGTCTTTTTAGAGATTTCTTTATTTATCTATTTTCTTTATTTCCTTAGTCACGTGTTTTATGGTGTAGTTTTGACTTTATATCTGTATACAGGATAGTCCAGAGGTGTGAATGTGACTGTATGGTTGCATTGTCGGCCGAGTCACGTTCCAAACTATTACGTTTTGGAACCGGGGCGTGACAACAACTTTTGATTGGGTGGTCGCTTTTATAACTATTTTCAAGGACAAAAGCATTAGCACCCCTAATACAATATGTAAACACCCATGTTGATGACATAAACTTCACAAGGAAGAAGGTCGAGTCCAAACATTCAGCAACAGGATTAGTCAGCGGATCCAATGCATAATATCATGTATGAGTTATGATGATATCTAAAACGAATCTCCACCCAAATGAACAGTCATATGAGAGAGTGTAAGAGGGAAAGATTTACTGCTCACATATTTGCTACTAATAGGCTGGGCCATAATAGGATCCTCCAATTTTGGTTGTTTCGACTGTACTGCTCACATATTTGCTACTAATAGGCTGGGCCATAATAGGATCCTCCAATTTTGGTTGTTTCGACTGTTGAGTGGACGCTGAAATATATGCAAAGTCGGGCCATAATAGGATCCTCCAATTTTGGTTGTTTCGACTGTTGAGTGGACGCTGAAATATATGCAAAGTCGTCCTGCAAACAAAGTTGGATTGACATAAGAGAAAACTAACAGAAAAAGCAATAGTTGGAGAAATAATTCTTTTTGAAGCTTTCACATAAAAACGAACCACACAGTGCCATTAATTATGAACAAAAAGCCTGTTTCTTAGAGATCAAGAAGCATAATGCCATTTGAGCAAAAAGAACTATCTTCCATGGCAGAAAATTCATAAATTTACCATTATCCCCATGTTTCTAAAAGACAAGTTTCACCTCTTCACAACAATCGGTAGCACTTGCAATACCCAATATTGCATCAAACGAGGTTACTTGATAAAAGGAAACTAAGAACAAATGAAAGTTTGATTATCTTTATCCCTTCTTAGTTCAGAATATTCAGATGTAAACAAAGAAAAAAAATCTGATTTGAATTCCGCTCCCATCCAGTTGAAAGTATGGACACCCGGGACCTTCATTCTTAGAATATGACCACAAATAAGAAGTGCCAAACTATCCCCAAAAAGAAGATGTATGAATATATATCCAAACAAATAGAACTTTTCTCAGTGCCTAAAGATCAAAGTAATCAATAGCTGACCAATTTTATATACTTTTCTTATTTAATTAAAAAGTCATCAAAGGTGGAGACTGAACTCACTAGTCTTGCAAAATACTCTAAAAATATAATAATATCCAGTTAATAAAACTTTTGTTGGTGCACAAAGATCAAAGCCACATTATAAACAGTAGCTATGTAATTTTATATACTTTTCTTATTTTATTAAGGAGATCAAAAGAAAGATTGAAACTCACTCAAGTACCAAATAGTCAGATATAGTAATATATTGCTAGCATCCCGATTTGATCCAAGTCAAAGGTTGTTATACAATTCAATGTTCAAGAAATATTCATATCCGAATTTGTATGGGATTTGATCCAAGTCAAAGGTTGTTATACAATTCAATGTTCAAGAAATATTCATATCCGAATTTGTATGTGCTAGAAGTAAACAGACACTAATTTATACAATTCAATGTTCAAGAAATATTCATATCCGAATTTGTATGTGCTAGAAGTAAACAGACACTAATTAGAGTTATACAATTGCATTTTATAACGGCATAATAAGTAAAAATAAACAAATACAGTGAAAGAAAATTACATATGAAAATAGGGTAAGTCAAAATTTCAAGCAAGAAACTATATAGAAGAGCATGACAAACATGACTACTTCCGTAGGTACATTGTCATATGAGCACGAATAAGACCTGAGGAAAGTAAAAAATGAATTCATTACCAAACTACAAAATTAATTACTAAGACAAGTGATAGTGAACTACCAAGCTCTTTGCCATTTCTTTTGACCTCTTCTTTGAAGCAGTCTTTTTGTCTGATTTATCAACCAAAAAGGCAAGTCCATCTGGTTGCTGCAAAATATTTAACCAGTATAATGGATTACGGTTTCCACTGTAAATACTATATGATAAAAGCTATGATAAACCATCTCAAGGATAATGTATATTTTATTCTTAGGCAACATTAAAATAAGCAAGTATACAGCCATGTAATTCAGGTAGCTAATTGGGGCCAAGATGCGCCGCATATGGGGAACCAAGATATCACAATCAAAAGAAATCATTGCTCAGAAAATTCTAACTGGAAACTAGTTTGAATGTAAACAAGATTGTCTAAAAGCCCATGACAGGTAAAGAGATGTTAATATCAAGAAATAAGTTCCTCACCTGAAAAGGACAAGGCACAAGAGTCCCAAATAGATCTTCTTTCAGATCAGACGCATGCATGGAATAAAGAGCATCTTTTATCCCACGAGAGGCAAGGTATTCTTCTGTTTCTTTGTGCAAAGTGTAACCCTTGTACACGCTCACAGAAGGATCACACACCTACTAGGAGAAGCCAAAGATTACAATTAAATATAGAAACATGCTGGGTTTCATGTGAACAATTCTCAAGGCTAAAGCAAAAGGACATTGTCAGATAAAAATTAAAATACAACCACTCAGTACGCTTTAACGATTCAATTACTTAAGTAACATATTTAGTGCTCTAGAAAATTAAACATTTAACCAGATTTTTCAGATACTGTTCACTGGAACTTTATACTGGAAAAAAAATACTTGATACGTAGCAGTACAAAGTAAAGTTCATTCACTTTTTTTCCTTTACTGTTGCTTACCAGACATTATTATACTCTATACACATTAACTTCCACCATTTCCTTACCCACAATATCCTTCATTTAATGCTTTAGAACCTACAATATACATTGTCCAAATCTCATTTCACTCAGAATGGCATACAAGAGAAGATACAACTTGAAAAAAGACAGTCTGAACCCCTAACAACAAAGAGGGAGGAAATCAAGCAAGAAAACATGGTAAGCAACATGTCATACTGGTATCAGGGTATTGATATCAATCTGGAGCATTTTTTGTGGAAGTACAAAAGCCTTACTCTTTCATTTAGATTCCAGGATAAATTCAGGATATAAGCAGTTGTAGTTAACGAGGAAAGAAATCCAGCGCGCTAATAAGGGATTAATTTTTTATAAATATAGAGCTTTCTGCAGTGTAGAAGAAAAACACAAGTCATGGACATAGACATTTACCGAAGAGCTAACTTGAGCCTGGCAGTCGCTCAAACTTTTGTAGATGCCAACGACATCTCCTTTACGAACAAGGTAAAAGGCATTATTATCTTCGCCCATTGGTGGCTGAGACTCCTCTTTCAGCGACCGAGAACCACGTGCCCGTCGAGTAGCGAAGCACCGAACACCAAATCCAGTAAAGATGGAATTCAATCTGATCGCATTAAAGCCACCATCCCGGATGCCCCTTCTCCACGCTATAATAGAAAATCCATAAAAAGAACCCCTCAAGGTGACACCCCTATTCCTTGTAAATATAGCTGCAGAAGATAGGTACGAAAGGCAGTTCATCCACTTGCTACGAAGTCGAGATGCCCAAATTTAGAGATTAGAGCGAGATGCCCAAATTTAGAGATTAGAGTCAAAATAAAACGTGTTCAGTTCGAAGTAAACCAGAGATATAATGAACATTACAGCTGCATTTTAGACAGATAGTTTGCGCAATGGATTTGTGAAGACATGAACCTTTACTAGATTAATACTTAAAATTGAGTAATAAATACAATCGTCAGAAGAATACCGACCCCATTCAAAATCTAAGGGAAAAAACAATGTCAGCTCTAACAATTTTGACCCTAAAACTGGCAATTAATGCCCAGATCAGATAAGAGGGGGGAAAAGGGCTAAACCCTAATCCACTGTTTCCCAAACCGCTTGGACTCAATAACTTGCGGTTCAAGAACCAAAAACCCTAAACCCAGGATGTCATATTCTCCAAATTATTTTTGCTCCAACTCTAACAGCTTCCCCATTTTAAAGAATCATGCATTTATTACAATAATAAAAATATTCTACATCTTTGACTAATAAATAATAAATTATTTATTATTTTGAAGAATCCCCATTTTGACCAAATTATTTATTATTATAATGAGGAGATGGAGTTGTTTTTTGTGGGTTGAGTCTAGAAGAACGTGAAAAAGTGCTTCCCCAAATATTTGCAGAATGCTGCAGATTTGGGGAAGGCTCTCTATTCTCTCCTATCCCCATTTTGGGGAATGAGATGGGGAATCTGTTGGACCAAAAAAAAGCTCAAAATTCTCCAAATTTTAGAATACCAAGAAGATGAGGAAGCTGTTGGAGATGCTCTTAGGGACCCCCCGGCGCCCATCCCCCAAACGGCAAACCCAACAAAAGAAATTTATACTAGAGTGAAAATGCAAGAAACAACTTTCAAGTTTTATACGGAAATCATCTTTGAGTTTAATTTATACGGAAATCATCTTTTGAAGACGGTTCTTACTCAATCAACCACTTGCCCCATCTTTCTCGTTAAATTTTAATTAAAATCTTGAAAATGCCTTTGAAAAATGCACCAAAATATATATCTTATTTGGTTGATAATACATGTCATTTTGTCCGGCGCATGTATTTGCAATCTGCAGAACATAGAACATATCTTGAAAGTTTCAAAAAATTGCGAAAAAATCATCAAAATTCAAAATTTACATAAAACCACCCTGAGATTTCAAACCTACAAACAATACACTAAATATATAGAAATTACAAACAACCCCCTAAAATTTTAAAAATTACAAAAAACATGTTATAAGTTTCAAACTTTCCACATCCTCAAAAGTTCAAAATCTATTTAAAAATACACTCAAAAATCGAAGATACAAACAATACACCGAAAATATATAAACCTAAATTTTTAAAACACCCCTAAAGTTTAGATATTTGCAAAACACACACTCAAAAGTTTGAAAACTTTTTGGGGGCTTTTTGTAATGCCTTTATTTTCAGTGTAACATTTGTAAGTTTTTAAGTTTTCAGCGTGTATTTGTAATTTTTGAACTTTTAGGGTGTTTTCTGCACTTTCAAAATTTTTGAGGTTTTTTTAGTTTTCTACACTTTATGGCTATTTTCAGTGTAATGCATAGATATGTTAATTAATAAGATTTTTAAGACGAAGTGGTTCTTAAGATGGATTTAACCATGACTATGAAAGTGGACATCACTTATTCTAGGGAGTAGTTTATATATGCAAAAAAGTTTTCAAAAAACCTATTTAGTAGTTTGGCCTTATGTGGAGATCGATTCTGTTAACATATCAAAATTCAATATTAACATATAATCCAAGACAAATAGAAAATGAAAAATGAAAGTACTTAGTTAAGATCCTTGGGAAAAATGACACAAACAGTGCAAAAGGTAAAACTACAAAAATTCTTTTTCAAGCACAACAAAAGAATTTATTACTAAGAAAAAAGTAGGGATGAGCAAATAGTTGTTTGGTTGGCTTTGACTTTTTCCAAACTGAACTATATTCAAAATAAAAACAAACAGAACTGTGTCAAATCGATTTGTGGTTTAGTTTAATTTGAGCTTAGACACATAAAGTTAAATTATTAGTTAAAGGAGAAGATTGTTGTTCATGCAAGCCTTTCACTCATCTCATATCCCTAATCAAATATAAAACTCATTAAATCAACAACTTTGTGCATTAAATCAAACATTTGTCAATTAATATACATAAAAAATATTAGTGTAAATAATATTCACCTTGAACAAGTGGGAATTTTATGCAGTTATGTTGACAGCAGTCAATTCGATTATTTTAATTTAAATATTGTATAATCGAACCGAACTAAACTAAAGTTTTTCTAAAATTAAATTGAACGGCCAAATTCGATCGGTTCAGTCAGCTTAATTGGTTTGCACTAAACCTTGCTCTCCCCTAGAAAAAGGTCACTCCTAGCTTTAGTTAAGTAATAAACGAGAAAGAAAAAAAGTTCATATATATGTAAGTTTTATTCTCATTAAAACAAAAAATAATCAGACTCATACTTTTAGAATTTTGTGTTGAACATCAGAAAAACATTTAAATTTCTTGGGAAGTTAGATGAGAAGCCAAAAGATGAACGTGTTTAGGTCAAAATAGTAGCACAAGAAATCCAGCTCCACGCAGATGTCATAATCAGTATAGATGATAAAAATATACTCTAAAATTGACTAGAAAAAAGATAAAGGTGGGACAGGATTGATGTCAATGATCTTGGTAATTTGATTTATTTCTCCAATCTGGGTAGATCTCAAATGCAGTAATTTGGTTGTTTATCTAATCTACTAGTTCTCAAATTTTTATCTTAGTGTGAGATTTTGATGGCCCGTGATCTTAGTTCATTTACTATTTTATTTTTATTTTCAAATTTAATCTAAGCTTGATGGGAAATTTCTTGATTTTGGTAGAGAAAAATTTTGACATTTTATTGTGTGGGTAGTTAAAAATAAGTTTATTATTGATTATTTATCTAGGGTAGTAGTTAAGAATTATTTGAGGGGGGTTTAAAAATGAGGATGAGATGCTGGATCAATTAGAACTTCCTTCATTCCTTATTTGAGTTGTTAATTGATTCAAATCATTGATCAACTAATGATGATTCTAAGAGAGAATCAATTGATTCCAATGATGAGAAGTTGAGTAATAATCTTTAGTCTAATATGGAGGTGCAATTTGAAGAGAATTGGATACCCCATTGAAGGAGAATTTCGAAGTATTTCCATGTGAGGTATTAATCAAATCATGATTGTTTCTTTATTTTTTTTCATTGGGTTAATAAAATGTACTACAGATGTTTGATAAAATGTTAAAAGAAGATGAGTTTGTTGTATGCTCTTTTAGTTGTTCTCTGTGTGTGTGTATATGAGTTGGTGGGGATTTGTGCCTACTTTATGAGGATGGTGGGGATTGTGCCACATAGGTGACAAGGAGGAAAATCCTCTCCTATGACAATGATACCCATTAATATATATATATATATTATATTAATCTTGATGTAGTTTAGGCTACATTTCCTTAGTCATGGACTATGAACAAGAGATGTGTTAGCTATCACACCTTTATTTTGACACATTGGTGGATAGAAAATCTACATATCATGCATCTACGCTCATGGAAATGAAAGAGCAACTCTCTCAATATTGCAACGGGATAGAAGAGAGTACTAGAGAGTACAGTAAAAAATGGTGAAGATGAAAGATTTGTTATGTTTATAAATTTATGTAACAAGTGGTCATTTATCTTGCTCAATTAGAGTTATGCAATTTCTCATTTTGGTGGAGTGGATAATCTACATAAAGTTATTATGTCCTGCGTAATTTGAGGTAAACTTAAACTCTCAAGTCTACAAGGCTCTTTACCCTTCCTCATCTTCGTCAATGACATACGACAATTTGGGTGACTGAATTGTCCTAACATTCCTTTATCCTTTGGCTAGCAACTAGATCTCGATTGCTAACTCATGATAGGTTATGCAATATGAGCATTTTTAATTCCAATTGGTACTTATTGTGTGATCGGAACATGACAGAAAATCATCATCATTTATTTTTTAACTACATCTATTCTGTCAATCTGGAATTGCATAATGGTATGAATCCAAACTAGGTGGCGTTCCTGTGTTTGGGCTCAACTTTTAGGCTAGTTTTCTTAGTATTTGTGAAAACGAGATTGATGTTATAAGATTACTTTTTTGTAACTGTTATAGTACGTACTTTTTTGCAACTGTTATAGATTGGATTTGGACTGAAAGGAATCAAAGGATTTTTCATGCAAAAATAAGGTCTCTAGAATGCTTTAACCTAGATTGTCAAGAATTCTATATTGACCATCATCCTAAATAGTTCGATAGTTGACAAATTGAAGTGATGGATTATGAGATTGCAACTATTTCTTATTTTCTTTGTACTCGTATGTTTAGATGATGCTAGTTAGCTTTCTTTTGTATTGCTCTTGTTTTGAGTAAACTTGATATACTTACAATACAGAATTGATGAATGAATAAAATTATTTTCATCAACAAAAAAGGTCAACAGATAGAGAAAATTATGGTATGTGCAATAATCTAGGTTTGGAGGTTTCATCTTAAGATGAATCTAATTGAGTTATAGTAAGAATATATAAAATAAAAAAGGAAAAATTATGATATTTAACTACGTGCATTGCAAGTGTATCCCACCTAATAATTACAAAATATGACTAAATAATGACAAATAAGTCATTTATTGAAGAAAAAACAATTAGTATTAGTTAAAATGGATTCCCAAATATATCTTTGTTAGACCAAAAATGGGCAAAATTACAAAGTTGGTATATTTTATTGACACCGTGTGATAGACAAGTATATATTCTTATTCTAACGATGATATGTTTTTTTTGTGGACCGCAGTGATAACTACCCAAAAAGAGTCACGTAAAGCGCCATGTGCGTCCGACGTGACTGTTAACATAGATAATAATAGGACCGCTTAAATGAGCTGAGGGGTTCATTTAAATGGTGGTTTTTGTGTGTGTGTGTGGGGGGGGGGGGGTTNTCTCAAAATTAGGATTAAGAAAAGTTACGATTCAAATTTTGTCTCAAGTTTTGCTTTTGAAGAAGGAGCAATAGTTTAAAGAAATTTTTTCCAATACAACTTTTAGAGGCAATGTCATTACAAAAGGAATTTTTGCTTTCACACCCAAAATTTGACCCTTACTTTTTAAAAAACCCATTAAGCTCTATCTAGACCTATAAACCTAAAATGCTCACATCCATTTACTTTTAAACTCAATTACATCGTATATGGTTATTGTGAGACTCACAAATATAAAGTTCCCCAAAATATCCCTCATCTATTGCTCTTCTCTTCTAGCATTCTTCTCTTTGTGATTTTTTCTCGTTCA